CGCCTGGGTGGCTCAGTCAGTTAAGCATCTGCTTTCAGCTCCCAGGCTCCTGGAATCAAGCCCCATGTCAGGCTCCCTGCTCAGTGGGGAGTCTGCTCCTCCTTCTCTCTCTGCCATTCCCCCTGCTCCTGCTCTCCCTCAAATAAATAAATAAAATCTTAAAAAAAAAAAAAAAGAGAGTTAATAAACAGCACATCAAACACACCTGCCATTTCTATTCTTTTCTCAAATAAAATTCAAATCAAATGTTTGCAGCTCCCTGAATCACTTTCCAGAATTCTTCTAGTATCTGACACAGAGCCTGGCCCAGAATCACTAAGAGATGTTTGTTGAGTGGATGACAGATTTTAGCTTAAAAATTCACTGGCATAATATAGCAAAGACTTCTCAAGATCCCCTCGTCCTCTCCAGGGGAGGCAGAAAGAAAACTGAGTCACTCTGCAGTTACCTACCTCTGGCACTTAACCATCTTTAAAGCTTATTTCTCATGCCTACTTTGCAATGGAGGTTTTTACATGTGTGACTGCAGGTCTGTAAGGGAGATATTAGTATTATCCTAATATTACAGCTCAAAAATCAAAATAAAATAATATTTATTAGGGTCTCTTAATGAGTAAAGTGTGGAATTGAGACTCAGAACCTGGGCCATGGAGCCCCTAAACCCATGCATCCCCTACTCTTTCTCTCTGCTCTGGTGCTCTTTACCTCTCCCTCCGTTTCCTGCCTCTCCCACAAACTGAAAGCACTGCATATAGTTTAAAGCCTACTTGGATTTGGGGTTAGTCAAGAAAAGCCATTGGGTCTCATAGATGCACTTATTTACACAAAAAGGATTGGAATCATAATGTATATTATGTATACATATATACTATATAATAAAAAAGCATAAGCATATGATATGTCTACACAGCACATGTATAGAATAAGTTTCATAAGGTTTGGCATAAAGTACATTTCTTATCATATCAGGGCGTTTCACAAGTGAAAGCTTTCCTATTCAGAAATGAACATTTTATTCTTTCCTCTGTAACTTTTTGTTTAAAGAAAATTTTTTGAATGTTTTCTTCCCCTAGATAATAGTGTACTAACCAAATAAACATAGAGTATTATAATTGCCCTGCTGATAATTTTGCTAAAACTCTGAAAAATCATTTCTTGCATAAATAAGACCAGAGACAATAGTCCAGGATCAGGGTTTCTCGGCACACAAAGTAGGCTTTGTCCAGTGGATGTTTTCCTTGGGTTTTTTTCTCCTTGATAGAGTGCTAACAAAAGTATAACTTTTCCACTTTGTTCCAGAGGTGGGGGTTTGAAGTCTATTGAGGGCAACTTTGTGCCTTATCTAAGCCTCTCACAGTAGGTCACTTAGGAGGGAAAGCCCCAATTCATTGGTCCCTGGACAGGAAAGAGGGGCCACAGTGGAGACAAGGAGCAGTTCTCTGCTTAAAGGGATCTGGCAGGGTTGCATAGAGGAAGATGTTTATCCCTGTTTATGGCATACCCCTTGTCCCTCTACATTTCCCATGGCTGATGTTACTTTTTATAGCATATCTGACTGTCTGGGAAGGAGCCTTGGAGTTCCAGGCCTTAGAAAGCAAAAAGGAAGGGAGGGAAATCTTCAGTAATGCTATCTGCAGAAGAGTTTCTGGCTTTCAGAATTTACAGAGCAGGTGAATTCTGTGTGTGGGTGTGTACGTGTATGTGTACTTCCTGAAGCACATACATGTGGTACGTATGATGTGGGAGCTTTTCAAATGGATAACTTCATTGAAAGAATCAAAAACTTTTCCTTTATATACTCCTGTAACTTCTTTAGTATATTGAATACATTGTAAAAGGAATATTGAGTATTAGTAATTAGATTGAAAATTATATTCTAATGTCATTTTTGTGGTCTAAGAAACAGGGAGGATCGCACTGTCTTTGAATTTTAAAAATACCTAGGGAAAACACCCAAACTCCTGTGATCTACTTTTACTTTTATCATTGACATTATGATTTTAGTAAGAAAAGAAAGGAAACTTCCACGGAGAGTTTAATTTTAAAGAGGATGCAGAGTATCTTTTAGAAAGATTTTCTTAATCATCTGGATTAATCCTGACTTTCAACTCCAGATAAGAAATAGGATATCCCATAAGGAGGATTTGCAGCATGTAGGGAAGTTTTTGCCAACCAGGAAAGGCTCCCAGGGTCTGAGTTATTAAAGTTAAATTTATTGGTGATTATGCCTAGTTCCTGTATAAATGAAACTTCAAAACAAACACTTGAAAAAGTCAAGAGAAGTCAACTAAATGGCATGTTTTTTATAAGTATAAAAGAAGTGGCCATTTTCAAAGGGCCTCATGGCTTGGCAGATTGAATAAAATGAATGTGAGAGCTTACTGTTAACCCCCGACAAATGCTGACACAGTTGTAGACACACATACACACACACACACACACAGAGTTCACAAGAAATAATAGACAAACTGCCTGGAGATACATGGCTTTAATCCCATCAAGGGGCTCTTGTGACATTGTAAATCAAGGAACTAGAGTTTGAGTAGTTGAGGCTGTCCCTACATCTTCTGGATGGGATTAATTCCATGTAATTCTCTACAGCCTTTTCTAATTGGTTAAGATGTGTGAGATGCCAGGCATAATGGGATCACTGAGCCATCTGCATCTCACACAGGCTCAACTGGGAAAAAAAAAATTATGGTGAGAAGAGAAGCCAGCAATCAGCTCTACCTTATAGGAATGTCGTACTTACTCTTCTCCCCGACACTCTGGCAAATCAAAGCAGTGAGCTGCTACATCGGCAGTGCCCCGGGTGGTAGAAGGGGCAGTTATGCTGTAAATGAGCCTGGACACTACAGAGCCAGGCGCCTCAGTCTGCACGTGGGGTTTCACCTTTCCATAAACATAAATGTGAAGCCCCATGCAAGTATACACGCTGGTTCCGTATAAAATAGATCTTCAAGAAGTTAAGCTGGAACAAAAATAACCTACACCAGATGGAACACTTGTCCAAATCTGTACCTGTTACCTCCTAAGATACTTCACTCATTTGGCCAAGTTAGAAAATAATAAAATCGTCAGTATCCCACAAAGGGCACACGATCAGCTTGCTAGTTGAACCTTTTTCTTTTTCCCCTTATTTGTGAGCGTGCCATATAAATACAACTTGAACCCACAAGGCATTATAACAGTAAACTCAAACAAAAGCATGCTCTAGTGTTACACAATGACCAGGGGACCACATAATGCTCGTTCCTTATTCAGGCTCAATACGCCCGAATAAACCCTGACGCTGATATGCAACTGAGACCAAGCATGTATCCGTGTGCCTCGAAAGCAGTGAACTTGTACATATGTATCCGTGGTGCTCAGAGACCTCAGCACAATCTTGGTGGCTTGGACAACACACCCATAGAGATCTACTTTTTTTTTTTTTAAGATTTATTTATTTATTTAAGAGAGAGAGAGTGCGCACAAGTGGGCAAAGGGAGAGAGACAATCCCAAGCAGACCCCCCGCTGAGTGTGGAGCCCCAGGCTGGGCTCAGTCCCACAACCAGTGAGCTCATGACCTGAGCTGAAATCACCAGTCAGACGCTTAACTGACTGAGCCATCCAGGGCCTGGAGATCTACATTTTTGAGAGAGCTCAGTGAATTTAATTATTTGAGCGCCTGCTACTTTTGATGTGATGATTGGAGAAGATGTGGGAGAAAGAGTGGTTTTCTTGGTAAATAGGATTTGAGGTTACAAAAAAAAAAAAAACAAAACCAACATAAGAGCACATAATAAGAAAAGGTGATAAAGTGGGCTTGATTTTTATAGTTAAATGTAAGAGGGACAAAAAAATTACTCATAAAAATTAAACTTCTAGAATGAATGTATTTAAGAGCTGTGTTTTTTTAAGTAGGTTCCTTGAGCCACCTCCATCTGATTCATTCAGAGTCCTTATTAAAAATGCCTCCCCCACCCCAATACCTTTTCACCCTCCATCCTCCTTGCTTGATTGACAAGAAGTAATCCTTGTCTGTTATGTGCTGGGCCTTCCCCTAAACTCAGAACTGCTTTAAGATGAGGACTGTACTTCATTGATATCTCCAGAGCTTAGCAGGGAGTCTAGCAGATATCCATGTTGCATGAATTAATGCTGATTTTAAGAAAGTGGAATTTCATATGATTTCACCAGTAAATCTGAAATAGTTAATACCACGTGTTCATGTCAGATGGGTCTGAGAATATGGTACTGCCGCTAAAACCTGAGCTCCTGAGCCAATGCTCACATCTTGTTCATAGTCACAGGAAAGGGAATGAACATACATCAGACACTAAATGCCAGGAATGATGATGTCCTCTTCAAACAGTGTCTCATGTAAGCGTCACAATCCCACTGCAAGAAATTGCTACCCATTATGGAGTCAAGTAGTAGAAACTCAAGGAGGTGGGGCTGCATACTCAATTTCTCAGAGCTACAAAGTGGTCAAAGAAAGATGAACTATACCCAACGAGTCTTCTGTCCATTGTTGCAAATTGGGATCAAATGGATTTTATCCATGCCTCAAATATTTGATTTATCCTGGACCTGCCCTAGAAATTAAGAAAATTCCCAAGACAGGGCAATTGATTCTATACCCCATATCTTGGGTTTTCCAATTAGGTCAGACAGGCTATTCAAAAGTAGTTATTTCCAGGGGCGCCTGGGTGGCTCAGTCTGTTAAGCATCTGCCTTTGGTTCAGGTCACGATCCCAGGGTCCTGGGATCAAGTCCCACATCGGGCTCCCAGCTCAGTGCGGAGTCTGTTTCTCCCTCTCCCTCTGCTGCTCCCCCTGCTTGTGCTTTCTCTCACTCTCTCTCCTGTGCTCTGTCAACTAAATAAATAAATAAATAAATAAATAAATAAATAAATAAATAAATAAACAAATAAATAGTTATCTCCAAAGCACATCACCTTAGAGCAGATGGGAAGAGACCCCCTTTCCCCCTGGCTCTCATTCATCCCACCCACCTGCAGCTGGGCTTGGACCAGGATACCAAAGGGCCACAGAGTCACTCCAGAGTTCTAAGCTTCGGGCAGATGGCTCCTCAAGTGTGAGGCAGAACCTAGATCTGCATACAGGCTAGAGTTTCATGGCCAAGAGTCTGTTGCTCTGTAAAGGAACAAAGAAACCATTAAAGCAGCCCTGCACCATTTTTCAAGAGATTTGGAGAAAAAAGAAAAAGGTTAGTGGTCACAAGTAGAGGAAAAATGGAATCTGTATTTTCTAGAGATTGATGTATGTATGCAAATATGTATGTACATATGTATGCATGCTTAATTCCAGGGTCCAGTACAGAGCAAACTAAAGTCTCCTTGGATAAGTTTCCTTTTCTAGTTTGATGAGCATGGAGCTGAATAATCCACTTATACTTGCCACATGTGCTGCTATCTGAGAGGTCTTGACATATACATGGTTAAGATCCCTCAGGGGCCAAAACAGAAAAGCGCCCCAGCAGCCCAGGAAAGCGCATTCAAACACATCTCATTTCCTTAACAAGAGGTCTTCCAGGTAAGATCACGTTTAAAGAAATGTCATTACAAAAAAAGAAGAAAAGAAGAGAGAAAAGTGTTTATATTCCTTTTAGATTACATTTTCCCTTATCTTATGAAAATATTTTAAAAGTATGATACTAGTTATAAGAGGAAGCACCCCCAACCTTAATTAATATCGACAAGGCCTCTTGAATTACGCCTAAATGTTTCTTTAAAAATTAGCACTCTTGCCTTTTTTCTTTTCTTCTTCTTCTTCTTTTTTTTTTTTTTTTTTTGTATTTAGCCCTCAGGAAGTGAGTACATCTACGGTTCAACTCTCTCGTTTTCAGGAACACACTGTATACCAAAATATGAGACTCATTCTGCTTACCAGTTTTTCCACACACATTCTTTTTTTATTACACATGCTTTTTTTTTTTTTTTAAGCTTCCCAACTGTATTTACATAAGGTTTGGGGAAATAGCAGGCAGTTGTAGGGTATGGGGAAATATACCAAATTTTGTAGTGTTTTAACAGGGATTTCATCTGCCAAAGAAAACGCTGACACTGTTCACTGGTGAGCTGTGGCTCAAGTGGCCAAGAAAGATGTATCCTCCCTTTCACCTCAAAGGAGAAGCCTTTTTTGAATTAATAAACAACTGACTTATAAGAAGGACTTCTCCATCCCTAACACCCCACCACCCTTTAAAAAATTCATACTCTCCTTGCAAAAACCACCTTCAGTGTCATAGAAGAATTCTAGACCACAATGTTTTCCTAATCCAGGATTGCTCATCAAAGTCAGGGTTTACGGAGATATTTTTGGTAAACTTTGTTTGCCTCCATCCTAAGAAGGCTACATGAAACAACACCCAGAATTGCCCAAGGAGCAGAGCTTCTAACAGCGGCATGGGATTGTTTCCAGATCAAGCATACAACACTGGCTTTCTCTTACTTGTCTCCTCACCTCGGAGAGGAGGTGTATGTATCCATCATAAGTGGATTTTTGCAGTGTCCCTCTTCCTTCCATTGACTATAGAAGTGACCAAATTCCCCCAAACTCCCTCTGCCTGAAATGCTTTTCCCTCACTTCAGTCATGTTGCTGCCCAAATGGCACTCAATTATCAAAAGGCCTTCTCTGACCACCCTCTGTAAACTAACCCATCAACACCATCTCTCTCAACGTCTTACCCAGCGTTAGTCTGCCTCATAACCCTAACTCACTACATTTATTCACTGGCGGCTTTTCCCCAATTAGAATATCAGCTCTTTGGCTATAGGACTCTGCATTTTTTGTTTGGTGCTGTACTCCCAAGGCCTGGAATAATGCCAGGACATTGTTAAATTATAAATAAAAACTTATTTTAAATATAAATTAATTACATATTATAAATTATAATTTCATTGTAAATTAAAGAGGACACCTCCATGAGATATTTGTTTTATAAATCGATCAGTGAATGGTAAGACACCTTTGCCTGAGTTTCAGAAAGGGTTCCAGCCATTTATTGACCTTTCATGGTGTGTTGCCCTCAAATCGTGTGTGTGGCCCAGAGGCGGGGAATTACACCACAGGACCCAGGGACCTTCCTTTAGGCTGTGGAAAAGTCTAGGGTTGGTAAGTGAAGGGTGACAGGACAACGCCCCACAGACTGTGGCTTGATCACAGGTTAAGGTCTTAGTCTGCATTCAAAGCTCTCTGGAGAATAGCCTTCCAATATTTTCCAGAGTAAACATATACATTCTCAGCCAAAGTGAGCTATTTTCTATCAGGCATGTTCACCTCATCATTGTGTTCTATTTATAATGTTTTATTTGCCCCCCAAATGTTCTTTCTACCCTTCCCAGCCTCCCCAGCACCTCTTGCCATCACCACACATTCTCAACTTCATCTCATTCAGCCTCAAGGCCTCCTCTAGGAACCATGCCTTCCCTGGGGCTCTTCTTCACATGCACACCATCACCATCCTCACCATTGTCCCCACTGAAAGGAGCCACTCCTCTCTGCTCTCATTTAGGTCTCCATCTCCCTGATTGCAATGACACTCTTTACTGTGTATTTAGAGGCTTTGGTTATTTGTTTTTATTGTTGTTGTTGTTTGCTTATTTGTTTGTTTTTGTATGAGTCTTTGCTTTGCAAATTAGACCAAGAAGGAGTTTCCCTTGTTTTTATTATTCTGCCTCCACTCAGTTCACAGGCCCAAAACATTCCTAGTTCACAGTGATTCTCAACTGCAGAGCACAAGGCCCGTGGTGGGAAGAGTGGAGGTGAGGGCAGTGTATATCTGAGTCTATGACGGGGAAGGATGTATATAGGCTAAAAGAGTACCCCACCTCTTGCTACCTGGCTCCACAATTTCTCCCATCTCAAACAACCTCACCACACTTGAGATTTGCCATATTAGACAAGAAAGAGCTTGTGTATTATTCACCATTGCATCTCCTCCATTGTCTAGCACAGTGCCTTGAACTTACAGGGTGCATGCATAAAAAAATGTCTGATGAATGAATGAATGAATGCCCCCATAGAAAATCTTTCTGTTCCCTTGTTGTTAGCACCTCCCTGATCCCAGGTTTAAAAACACAGATCCTTTTTTTTTTTTTTTTAAAGATTTTATTTATTTATTTGACAGAGAGAGACATAGCGAGAGAGGGAACACAAGCAGGGGGAGAAGGAGGGGAGAAGCAGGCTTCCCCGTGGAGCAGGGAGCCCGATGTGGGGCTCGATCCCAGGACCCTGGGATCACGACCTGAGCCGAAGGCAGACGCTTAACAACTGAGCCACCCAGGCACCCCAAAAGCACAGATCCTTAAGGCAGGTTATAAAACATCTTCATCTTTAATCCTTATCCCCCTCCACAGCCACACATGCCTCTGACCAAGCATTTATCTCTGGGCACAAAATGCCATTTGCCTACTGATCAAAGGCTGTGGGAATGGGCGGCAGGAGCAGAATGGCCCCTGCACTCAGATCCTGCCCACACCCTTCCTGTTTGTGGCAGCCCACCCCAGGGGCTATTATGTTTTCAGAAGGCTAAGCAGAGCCCCTCCTTCCCTGGTCCTTACAGAGCCTCACTCCCCGGGTCTGGAGTGGCAGCCCCTTGCCCATGGAGCCTGTTTTCAGCGTTTCATTGTCCCCATGCAAGGCGCAGATAGCAGGCCAGACGCTCCTTTCCCCTTTCCTGGGACGCTGATAAGGCAATGAAAACAGTTCTCTATTTTCCTGCACAAAAGCTAACTTAGAAGAATGGGGTGGAGCATAAGTGATAACCAGCCAGAATTTGTTGCTTTGTGAAAAGAAATGTGGCGGGGAGGGAGTGAGGGAAGACTGAAAGCTTTGAGTTTTTGCTCTGGGTTGTAAAAGTCAGCCACCATTCAATGACAATGTCCCCTTTCCAGCCTTCCAGCCTCATTTCACTTCTGTAATGGAAAATGCTGCCCTCAGGTCAGAGGGCCCCAAGTGTCTCCTCCTGAGGGTGGCTGGGCCACCTGGGAGGCTCTCATGTGACCCACTTAACCACAGCGTAGCTTAGGGGTAGGAATGAAGGGAGCGGGGAGAAGACGAGAATGCCTTCCTGTAACGTTTAACCCATTCCAATCGAATTTCTTACCCTTTTGAACCCACCAACTTGGTCAATTGCATCTCAAGATGTGTGTGTGTGTGTGTTTATGCGGGGGGGGCTTCATCAACTCCACATGATCTTGGTTGATCCCAAGTGTCTCTAAACAAAACAGCCTGGAGTTTCCAAGTTCTTTTGTAAGAGAAATCCTTCAAAGATGTAGTTGGTGTTTGGTGAGTGTAGAGGCAAAGAAATGCCATAAAGAAATAGAGGATTACCGGGCGCTTTGGTGGCTCAGTTGGTTAAGCGACTGCCTTCGGCTCAGGTCATGATCCTGGAGTCCCGGGATCGAGTCCCGCATCGGGCTCCTTGCTCAGGGAGGAGTCTGCTTCTCCCTCTGACCCTCCCCACCTCATGCTTTCTCTCTCTCTCAAATAAATAAATAAAATCTTTAAAAAAATAAATAAATAAATAAAAAAGAAAAAGAAATAGAGATTGCCATTTCCATCTGGAACTGAAAAAAAAAAAAAAATGAAATGAAGGAGAGAAATGAGCCTTTACCAAAATGTTTCCTGGTGGGAGCTCGCTGCCCTGAAGCTGCCAGCCTCTCTGCCCCCACTGGCTCTGGGACCTGGTGTAATGAACGGAAACTGCACTTCTTGTTTTGTTTGTCAGAAAAATAAGGTAGTTTCCATGAGGCCAATTCAAGGAAATTAATCGGTCTAAGGTAGAGCGTCAATATTGGCATTGTTTTGAAAAGCAACCAAGGGGGTTCTAATGGGCAGTCAGGGTGGAGGATCAGTGAAGAAGATAATCTCTAAGGTATCTGCTGCTTCTAAAATGTTACAGTTCCATAGTTTAGGGTCCACGTTTCTCTGATTTTTTAAAATTTAGCTGTAATTGACATACAATGTATTAGGTTCAAGTGTATCACATAATGATTCGATATTTGTATATGTTACAAAATAATCATAGTAAGTCTAGTTAACATACATCTCTGTTCATCCTTCTCTCCTTTACCTAAGGACTTGAATCACCACTCCTCACTAGCCCCCACATCTTTCTGAAATTGCTGGA